ACAATACTATTATCAGCTCATCGTTATGTGTAACTTTTAGTTAATATTGTGTTTCCGTTCTTCTTTTTTATTTCGTAGCACTACAACTAAGAGGCTTGTAGCAGCATTTTACATTATTATTTTGGTAAAAGCACTACCCTTGATAAACAATATAATGTATAAATAGCTGCACAACTTTTAAAACTGGTGATTGGGGACTGCGCTGTTTTAAGGGATATCAGATAGCAAAGAATTGGTGTTTCAAACAAGCATTCGCTGAATTAGTAACAAAATCAAACCTTAAACGATTTATATAAACAAAGTAAAGAAAGAAAAAAAATCATTTCTAAAAATTGATACTTAAGATACTTAAGCTAATAAACTATGCTCAACGCCAATACTCAAGTTTACAGATATAAGCTTAGACAAAACTGGCGTAGGAAAAAGAGGAGGAGAGATAAATTAATTGCCCCGTAGAGGGAGGGTATTTATACCTTCAGGGGAAGAAATATAAGTTGTACAAAACGAGGAGCTGTCTTTCCCGATGTTATGGCTTTTACCGAGTATGGCACGGCGACCTGTTAAGCAAGCTCCATGCTCTGGCGGTACTCGACTTTGATAAGTGTTCAAGTTGTACCCTCAACGTGAGAGTAGCCACTGCACTGTCAACGCCTCGCTTTTTCACAGCGGGAGTCTCGCAATGCTCTTATCTATTACCGCTCCTATTCGCGCTCTATACGTGCGACATTCCTCTTCCAGTCCACCCTCACACGCGTGTGGCCATTTACGCCGATGATACGATGTTTTTGTTCATTGTCAAAGGCACCCGTTTTACTTGTCAGCACCTACAATTTTGTCTCGACGCGCTTGCTAGATGGTGTCGACGACTGGAGCCTCTTTATTTTACGCATTAAAGAGCAGGCTCTTCTCATAACAGATAAACGCTGTAATTAAGTATAAAACTCCAAATAGCACTAAAATGCCAATAAAAAAATTTAATGATAAAATTAAGACCCTCCCTGAGTGAAAAGTACTCAAGCTGTCGAAAGTTATTAAAGTGCCATTCCCTATTGCGTTATTTGGTTTGTTAAATTTTTTTATTCCATATTAGGACTTATACTTCATGAAAATGCAAAAACCTTTTTCAGCTTTTTAAATTTAATCCAAATAGGGCTATTATATACAATAATTAAGCACATTGATTGACTAGTTTACTAGAGACGCGGTTTCGTCTAGCGTCTCTCGATGCACTAGCAAGTCTTGCGCGAGCTTTTTCAATTTGTTTTTACCCCAAAAGTACTTTCTTCAACATAGTCAGATTGGCACCTTACAAAAGCCCGACCTTAATTTTGAAAAATTAATAATCTTATTGTAGAAGAACCTTTCATGCACCCCTTTAATCAAAAGCTAAAAAGTAGCTTATTAGTTTAAGATGTTGTCGATAGATCAGTCAAAAATGCTACTTAGTTAGCAAGGTATCTTGTCCATGTGATTTTTATTTAGTTATATTGTTTTATTCTTCAATAAGATCGTAAACTCGACAAGATGCAAATAAACCTGTTAGAAGTAACAAGAAATGTTGGTATTATCTACAAAGAGAAAGCTACCTTAATGAACTTGACTAAGGTTAAAAAACACTGTCCAGATCCACAGTCCGCCCGTTATTGCTAGGAAATAAGAAATAGATTACCCTCAAGTCAGAAGCAGAGTCTACATTTGAAAAATTTCTGCTTTGGAAGGACAAAATAATTAACTGACAATCAAAAAATGTTAGCATATTAGCTAACTAAATGTTCTACTAAAGTAGAACGAAAAAGAATATAAATTAAATCCTTTTATTGCTTGGGTTTCAGGAAAAGCAGGCTTGGCCTAGAGATGGGTTGCAATTGAGCCACCCGAGGGCCTAACAGCATAAATAGGATTTAATTAATGTACTTTTTCGTTCTACTTTAGTAGAACATTTAGTTAGCTAGCATGTTAACATTTTTTGACTGTTAGTCATTTTGTTCTACTAAAGTAGAATTTTTTTTTCATCATTTCAACCATAGTTAAAATCTAGACCCTGCTCCTGATTTGGGGTAATCTAGTGCTTATTTCCTAGCATTAACGAGCGGTCCGTAGATCTGGACGGTGATCTCAAACTTTATTCAAGTTTATTGAGGTAGATTATATTTGTATATAATATACCTACATGTATAGCTACTTCTAACAGATCTATTTGCATCTTTTAAAGTTAAGCCCATGTGAAATTATCTAGTGTTAGGCTGCTGAATAGCCTTAATAAATTTTGGAGCAATGAAACTAACCAGGTTCTTAACTCCTTATTGAAGAAATAAATAAATTACATAAATTAAATAAACTTAAATTTAATTAATTAACAATATTAGCTAAGTGATAGGCTAAATAACCTTGGAGGACCCTCGACTAAAAGTTAACAATTAACTTGAATAAAATTGAGTAAATATTTTAACCTCAATTAAATCAATATTTTGACTTTCACTTTAACTTTAACTTTAACTTGAATGAAATTTAATAGTATTTAGCTTAACTTAAATAAGTTAACAAATAAATAACTTCAAAGGTACTTAAATCCAAGCTGTTATTATATTAGCAATTAGGTGCGACTGAAAGTGTTGACAAAAAGAGCTGCATAATGAGTGATTTTAAACAACACGAAAGTTCTGATCCAGAACCATTTGTGCAACACACAGAGACATTAACATAATCAAAATATCTACATAAAGATTAGTGTACGGTTGCATGAATATTTATATCTTAGCATCCATCCTCCTTGAAAATCTGTGGTCTTTGCTAGGATACATAATGGTGTTATTTACTGGTACTATATATATACATGCGCCGAAAATCTTGAATGGCATGAAAATTCCCATGGTATTCAAAGGTTAAAACACCTGGGGGTCATCATAGCGACCCAGATGCTATATCCTATATTGTGCAACAAAAGTAAACGCATTCGACCGATAATGACAAAAGCATATCCTGCCCGAGCCTACAACTTATCGGCAAGAACTCTTCCCTTCAAGTGCCACAAAACAAACTGCTGCCCCTTTTAACAAACGCGCATAGTTTGTGAGCAATGATACACTTCACCATGAACTACAAAATTTTAATTGGTTTCACACTCTAAAAATGAAGCCGTCGCCCTCTACGAACGGATAGCTGGACACGCTAGTCGCCTCTTAGCGAAAGAACTTATTTACAAGTTGTGGGACGGCGCATAATACAGCCGTCCGCACGACGTAATCAGCATGACGGTTGAAAGCTAAGTTACTGGTCTTTTAACTGAACGCGATATGCACGTGTTTAGATAATAACCTCATATCTTCTGGTGGACCACTAAAAACCTGTTTTAGAGCTCATGGATTCGAATTTCTTAACTCGACCGAGCACCAAGGAACGCCATTTATAAATGAATAGATAAATAAATTTGAAACTGTCGGGATCGCCGTCGTGGCAACAGCACGTTGCATATATCATTGCAAAGATTCAAGTGTAGTAATACCAGCACTTTACCCGCTATTCGTGCGCAGAGGGTGTGGTACAGAACAAACTGCTGCACCCTACTTAATGTACTTGGACACCACACAACAATAAATTCTAGACTGTAGACATCGCCTCTGGCCATAAAAGTTTCTTACATCCACGCCCTCGGTACGCGCAGGCTACTAACGGCTGAAAAAAATTCTTTTACAGGGTGTCCACAATGGGTCTAATGCTCTTTATTTATACTCTAGATTTACATCAGATTTCTTGTTTTTTAGATTTTTATTGCCAAATTTTAGGTTTGCGGTACTCACACGCATAGTTCTTTAAGATAAAGTCTATAATCAAGATAGATAAAATGATAAGAAATTTATTAAATTAGACTGGGCTAGTATTAGGGACCGGAATTTTTTGGAAGGAGGCTTATTATATATAAACAATATATAACCCGAATTCTGGGATATTAAAGTTTGCTTGCAAGTAAGTTAGTTAATTCATAAAATTAAAAGGTTAATTTAAAACTGTATCCGCCTCTTACATTCGCTATTCTAGTAAATTACAAATTATTCAGGCCTTCTAATTATTTAGATATGCGCGCGTCCTTTATGGGTAAACACTTTTAAAAAAAATTAGTCATTGATAAGAAATGATCTAGATCTAATGGATTTTGACAAGCAAACTAGCCAAAATCTCTTTAATCTTAAGACCAACATGAATTAAAAAAAAAAATTTATATTGCAAATTAAAAAAGAAATACCAGAATTTTTTTAAGCTACTGTAGAACCAGCATTTAATGTTAGTTTTGAAATTAGAGTATTAAGTTAGTTTTGTAAAAAGGTAGATAAATAACTAAGGTAAAATATGAAAAATAAAGTAAACATAAAGACAAATAAAAAAGATTAGAGTAATAAGAAACCAATCACAAAAATTATATATTAAGAAAAAAAGTTTTAAGACAAAATTAACCTTGCCTTTATTCGACATAGTTCTAAATATATATACATATTAAAAGTAAGATATAATCTAGTAAAAGATTGTAAATACAAGATTAGAAATGCTAGCATTTAACAACTCACTATTAATTAAATTTCATTTTATAAGTAAACTGCATTTTTTAATGCCAATATATCTGAATTGGTGACAGGTTCATTAGATTAGATTAGATTGTTATAAAAAAATTTTTTTTATAATGAAAACTGGATTTGGAATACTTTGATCTAGTTTGCGTGCAGCTCGATAGTAGAGCCTAGTGAAGTCAATAGTATTGTATTTAAGAGGCTAATGAACATAAAGGGTTAAATTACTCCAAAACGAAAGCCGTTGTGCACGAAGAAACTTTAAAGACTGTATGCTTTAAAGAGCTAAATTCTAGTCCTCTACTTAAACAATTGATATAAACTGTATGTTGAAAATAAAACAAATGCGCTTACTCTATCGTATAGGATATAGAGAATTTAAATTAATATCATCCAATAGCTATAAAATTAACGGTTTCTAGCTTAATATAACAACTGATCTAATTTACTGTGGCGTGCTTTCAGAGTAATGGTTCGCTCTAAAGTTTGCTCTCGTCCGTTGCGATATGCTATAAACATAAATCAAGCTTGTTTGTTTACCACCTAATAATTATAATGGGCGGTAAAGACCCTTTATTAGATAAAGAAATTTACAGGTTAACCCAAGAATTAAAGGATGTTGTGGACTATGGCACCCTGGATACCATATCAACGCTAATTCAAGAAGATTACCCTAATGTTTCTACATCTCAAGAGGTAAGAAAATAATTTTTCTTTTTTAGCTTATTGTTTGCTGATTATTACACACAACTTTATAGATTACTTCTGAAGAAAAACCTGACCAAAATATTAACCCTTCGTTTAGAAACGGTTCCTTTTTAACTACGACCAGTGCTGCAACCTTAAACAAACTTGAGAACTCCTCTTCCATAATCCTGTCTAATAAAAATAATTTATGTAATTCTTGTGAAATTTTGTCTTCCGTGAAAGTGTCCGAGGCTCCCAGAAATTCGAATTGTGGCCTAAAATCCCCTTCGCAGCAGAAACCTATTATAATACCGAAATTGAATAAAGATGAGGAGCAACCTTGCGGTTACGCGACTATGGAAGAAATTGATCTATATGAAAGTTTGAAGGAACCAGGTGTTAGCAGTTTTTCATCGAATTGTTTAATTGACACAGAATCTAATGGATTTTTTACTTTTTTTTTATCTAAAGACTAAATTTTTTTTAAAAAAAATAAATATTAGTTATAGTCATTTTAATATAATATTAGTTCGTCAAGTAGATATTTTGATGAAAAACTTTACCATACAATAACTAAGTTAATTTTGTTATATACTTCTAATATAGAAACAAATTAATATTTGGCTTTATATTTAGTTTCATAAAAAGAATAATTTTGATATTTCACTATTTTATTTACCGTTCTCTATTCCGCTTATAATCTTTAATTTTTTTAATGTTTATGAGGCAACTTTTGAGTTTTTTGTCAGCTTCTGAGGTTTACTTAACCCTTTTTCTGTCGCCCACGTCATTCTTGCTCTGAGTCGTTTAAAGAATTTTTTGAATACTTGTAAAGTTTATTTTAGCGTAATTTTTTTTCTTGATTTGCCTCTAAAATAATATAAGATTATTCTTCTAGAATTTACTGTGATATTTTACAAGTGTTTTATTTTATATATTGGAGAAATCGGTTAAGATAAGTTAGTCTTTACCTGTTTAAATACTTTACAATGAGATTTTAAAAAGTTAAATATATATTAATGTTACAATTTATTTAAAGACGGTATACTTTACCTTTCATTAAAAAAATTTTAACTTATGTATAGAAACTTTAAAGTGTAAAAAATAAAAACTTGGTAGGTAAGGACTACCAGTAAATTATGCAGCTTTAGTATTTCCCTTCTTTATAGATTTAGAATGAATTAAAAGTTTTATTATGACTTTATAATGCCTAAAATATTACTAGTTTTTGCATTTGATTTTTACTTTAGCCCTTACGGTGTTACTTTATTATAGGGAATTGTTTAAAGCACGTTACTTTATAAACCACAAATTACATTCTGTCGATAGCGATGTGGCATTTTATTATTCACAATTTTTATTTACTGTTTTATAATTGTAATATTTATTCGTAGTTATATTTAATCTAAAACTTTTTTATGTTCTGCACTTACACTTTCAGCAGATAAAGAAAGTTTCTCCCTATCAAGAGACTTCAACTATGAATTATATGTTGCGCAAGCAAAAGCAATTATTGAGGCATGTAAAAGAAGAATTGAAAGTTTAAAAGAACTTGAAAAGAAATTTAAGTTAAACAGCGACTCGATGTAGTGTTGAAGAGCACCAAAAAACCTTAATACACAAAACTAAGTTATTTTTATCCAGTAAATTTATAATAATCAGTACCGAAAGGAAATAAATATATAATAGTGTTGGTAAGGTGTAATAAATAAAGTTTTTGAGTTAAGTTAAAGTATTCTGACTATTTGGACCTGTATGATTGCTTTAAATTTTATTACTGCTTTGTTTTTTACAAGTTCATCGACTGACAGATAAAATTGGCAATGTTTAAAGATGCCGGGCTCCCTGTCTTAAGCAAGGTAGGACTCAATAGTTAGAACATTTAGGGTCCTCAACGGAAAATAGAAGCTGTTCAAGTGGTAGAACAGCGACAGAAATAGAAATTAAACAAATTTTTCTTTATAAAAAGAGCTTAGCGGGTTAGGATTTGGGCAGATATGCATTGGATCTCGAATACTGACTCATTCTTAGGGAGCAAGGTGCAAGAAGTTCAAGGGATAAATAAGCTTGGAAGTCTAAAGGAAACTACGCAGCTATGGAATACTCTATAACAACTTTAACGTTTTTACAAAGTGTATGCTTTTAGTTTATGAGGAAATTTTTTTTTACCGTTTGTTGACTTCACTCTTCGAGCGTAGGGTGCAATTTTAACGCCTACAAGGGTAGCGTAGCCAAGATTTACAAGAATTTTTTATTAACTGGTTTGTATTGCTGACCAGAGACAAACTCGCACTGTGTTAGATTTTTCACCATAATAAAAAGTGGACGCCCTTCTTAAAGGGGAAGAAAATCATTTATTAACCCTTTAACGACCAAATTCTGGTGCTTAAAATAGATGTTTTCTAATGCGAAGTCCCTTCCCACGTTGAGACACTATACTTTAAAGTCCAGTATTTGTTTTCAAAATTTGATTCTATGTAGCCCAATTAATATTTCGATTAAAACAGTAAAGTAAAACAATGTCTACTTTCTATCCAAAAATAAACTTACTCCGGAATAAACACTTTTTTGTCCAATAAAAAGGACTTGCAACGCACATGCCCAACTTTACGTTCCCAGGTAACTAAATTTACCACTTTTTTTTTGTTCGTTGCTGCCTAATCTCTTCGAACATGGTGCTCAAACTTACCAGAGTTTGTTTCTGAGACCGAGCCTGTCGTTTAGGGTCAATTTCATAAACCTACTCATGCAAATTGAACCTAGACGATAAGTGGTAAACATAGTAACCAGTATCCAATAAGGGGTTAAGATATCGAGTTCTAACACTGACTCAATCGTTATACTCAACCCTCGCGCAAGTTTAAGCGCACACAAAACCCTGCGAGAGGCCTTCGTAAAAAGTTATTATTTTTACCCTCTAGCTAAAATAGCTGCAAAACATCTCGGATACGAAAATTTCCGTAAACATACACAGCAAAAAAGAACGTATGGACATAAGGGCCCTCACCAGAATAAGTTATCCGTATTTAGAAACCAAAGAACAGTAATTTTAAGGTAACCTTATTTATTGACGAAGACTCAGGCCACCTTTTAGCTTAACATTATTTGGATGAAACAGACCAAGAATAAAGATAAGCTTAGAGGGGGCCGTACACCTAGCAATCTACTAAGTTAATTGATCTCTGGTTTTAGGTAGATTAGAGCCTTTACCAAGGATGATATAAGGAGGCTTTGCGGGGCGCAACACCGCATATGCTGCGCCAAGGGAAATAAATGGTTGTCGTTGGAACTTATAAGGAGCATTGCAAGGATAACATGATATGAAGAGTCTTTTAAGGAAAGGAAGCTAAAAAAAGTTCATTTAAAGGTCTATGAAATATTGAAGTTAATATTACAGACTGTGAGGTAGGCAAGGAAGTAAAACTTACGTTTAAACACAACGAATACGAGGGTATGATAGTGATGTCTTAGTGGGATGTTGACCAAAGTGAGCCATGGTCTAAACATTCTGTTGAAGCAAGATCCTGCTTAACAGTCGTTTGTAGAAGCAGAGGTTTGGGGGGCATTAACTCTAAAATCTAAGTATTTTGTACATTATGTGTTTAAAAAATTCATAGATGGCTCAATTGATTGAGTATTTAGTTAACCATGTACACTCCGAGGAGGAGAGAAGACAGTGGATAATGGGAAAATCCTTAACTGCTTGAATATAAACTGTAGTGCAAATTATTAACAGAGCGCTTCAATGTAATATTGATTGGATGACTAAGCCATTTGTGCGCCTGCTAACTTAGACGCTAGTTTTTGGTTCGTTGGTGCAATATTGGCATAAAATTTACGGATAGTTACGAACTCTCCTAATAATAAAGCGAATAGTAAAAACTAGGAGCTACAAGCAGTCACTAATGAAGTATAAGAAACTCAAGGGGAGCTTCAGATTTTTGGTCAGGATTCAGTAACTGCTTATTATTGGTCGAAAGCTCGTCAATTTGGCGGAGTTCCAATAGAAGAGTGGTTCGCACATTTATGTCCTTAAGACGGTTACTTAACATTTTTAGAATAGATTTCTAATGCAATTGCTATAAAAGCAAGTGCTGAACTACCTAAAGTATTTCGAAAAGAGAAACTAGAAAATGGAGGTGCAGTAGATGCGCTGCGTTAATGTGTCTGATAACCAAGTTTTCAACGATAACAATTCGAAAAAGTTACGACACACTCGAGCCAGTAACACCGCTGCAAAATTTAATACTAAGCTCACTTGACAGTAGCCACTAACAAATACAAAGAATAACTAGAAAATCAATATAAAGGCTTC